AGAATAAATAGACTTTTACACTTCTCAAAATGTCTCGACACAGGTAAAAAAAAAAAAAAAGAATAAATAGACTTTTACACTTCTCAAAATGTCTCGACACAGGTCTGAAAAAAAAAAAAGAATTCCTTCAAAGTCCTTCTCAACCAACAGCAGGTTCTCGCTCGAAGAAAAGGATCGCCATGCAAACCCGTGGCGGGACTCCTGGGCTCCACTTCCACGCTCGTCCCCCTCTGGACTCCTCTTGGGACGGGTCGGTCCGGCCTCCGAAACAAATGAGCCCCTCATGCCGAGGCATTCTAGCCTGTCTTCATGGCCGCTGAGAGATGGCCAATGTGCATTCCTACGAGAGGCCCCCCACACCCCACCCTGGGCCCCGGTGCCTGTCATGGTCCGCCATGCCTGCGCCAAGGCATCGTCTCAGCCTCGCTTCTGTTTTTGCTTTTTTTTTGTTTGTTTTATTTCACGCCCTGCCGAACAGGGGCGTTAAAGCAGCTACTCCCCGATCAGAGACTTTGGCATCTCAACTGTGACCCAGGATATCCTTATACAGTTCTGGCACTCTCTCTGGGTCCACAGGCCTGGGCAGGAAGTGTGTGAATTTCTGGTGCCGTCGGGATTTCGTCCCGTCCCTTGGAGTCCCGTCTTTGTTTAAAGCCACAAAGTAACGCGTCCCTTTGTCTCCGTGTTTGTAGAGGTTGGACGAGTAGGTGTTGTACCAGTTTTCCTCGAACTGCTCCCTGAAGACGCATTCGGCTGTGAGCTTTTCCTAAAAACAAACAAACAGAAAAGAAAAAGCAGAGGTTTGGTCTAAGCAAAAACAAACCAAACTCCTGTTACGGCTATCTAAAGGGGTCAAAACGGGGGAAAAAAGGGTCATAAAGAGTTTGATAGGTCTCTATGAATTGCAAACATCTATCTATTTTGGTAATTTAGTTCAATTTCCAAACTCAAAATTCAAATAAATAAGTTTCAATACAGAAATATTACGCTAGGGTCAAGTCATGGCCTCCGTAGTCATGGAGACGAGACAGTTCAGCAGATAGTCCCTCCAAAAGTAGGGAAGCTGAAAAATGTCATTGGTATGGCTGCTGGCTGGTCACAAAGTGTCCTATCTTAAAAAAATAAATAAATAAATAAATAAATGGAAAGTTGAGTGGAAGGAAAACCTGTGCTAGAAGAAGGTGGACAAGCTTTGAGAGGACTGTGAATCAAAGCCCATTCAAATCTTTTTTTGAAAAAAAGTTGTAAGCGCCGGACTGCAAATACAATATTTATCACGATTCATACGTACTTTATCGTCTCCGACATGCGCTACAACCATTAAAATAATAATAATAATAATAATAATAATAATAAAAATCTATCAGTCACACCTTAGAACAGATGCAGTAACATATAAGTGAATTCCTCAACATCAAATATCTCTATGTGACAAAAATTGCAACTGGAATATGTTCAAACAGTGAAAAGCAGAAACAAATATTCAAGTTTAAGGACTATAATCATTCTAAAACATTTCTGTTTAATAGCATCTCACGTTTTCTCGGCAGAAGGAGGAATTTCTGATTTCTAGTTCAAGATATGAAAAGTCATCCTCACTTTTCTTCCTCCTTCTAAACACGCATTTTTTTTATTTTATTTAATCAACATTCATCCAAAGAGATGCGGTACTTACAGAGCCATAGAGCTCCCCTTTGTCGTTCATCCCCAGGTAAAGCCCGCTGTCCACTCCTTTTATGCTTATCAGTCCCACAGCGAGGCTTATGAATTCCAAAATACCTGCAGAAGAATAACACAGTTGTTCTGCGCATGATCAAAGAAGCTCAGAAAAATCTGGTTTCCAACTGCGACCCCGACTGAATCCGGTCAGAATATTCCCGTGACTTGTTTGTGTTTTCGTTAGTTTTATGTTGGCTACAATTGGAATCTGTTGTCTGCGTGATTGGATTATACCGACTTGATCGACGTGACTAGAACAGAAAAGTGTCGCGTGAGGAGTCCTGACCTGACATTTGCTGTGAACTACAGCGCTCTGAAAACGCCGATATGGATTTTAATATTTACCATGGCGACTGTGGTCCTTTCTGGTCCCCTGCACCGTGCCGTCCGGAAGTATTTCCAGATGAAACCCCGTCCTGCAGTACAGCTGCCGCCTCCTCAGAATGCCCTTTAAGTGCTTCAGATCCGGCGTGGTCGGCAGGTACCGCCTGTCCCCGGGGGCGAGGTGGTGCTCCCCCAGCAGAGTCGGCCCGTCCCCGGGAGGCGTGAGGACGAAATGGGAGCCGACGTGAACGACGCCGTCGATGCCGTGCAGGACGCCTCCAACTTCCCCGAGAGTGGCGGCTGCCATCGCGTCAGGAGCGGAGGGGTGGGAGGGGTAAAGTTCAGCAGGTACACGGAGGTCCGGTGGGAGCGCTCTGGCGTAGCGGCGGACCTGGATGCCGCCTATTGCATGTTTGTGTCCTCCGTTACTTAGCGCACGTCCCTCCCCGGCGGCGCGGGGAAAACACTCGCCGCTTCCCCTCCGCCGCAGAGAGAGTTGGTCGGATGGAGGCGGGCTGCAGTCAGCGGCCGTCGGCGCTCATGTTGGACACCTGTCCGCAGCGTCGGCCGGTGGTACGCCTCGGAGGAAGCGGTCGGTGCTGGCTGCAGGTGAAGCAGTCCCTGGAGGTCTGAGCTCAAAGTGGCAGGGTTGGTGAGGCAGGTGTAAAAACCACAGCGCTAGTGATGGGCGTGCCCTGGCAGGCGATTTTTAACCCCCCTTCTCCTGAGGCACGGAGTAGAAGAGATATGGGCTGGTGGAGGAAAAAACACTACAGCTGTTTAAATTTAAACCAAGCATCGACATTAGTTTAGGACTCAGCCGACACTCTGTTTTTGTACGGAAGAGGATCGGGGCCACTGGGGAAAGAAAATAAAACCCACACAAAAAACACAAAAGGATACTGAGATTATTCAGAATCCTGAGAAAAAAAACCTCAGTAAATTATAAAATAATCGAAGACATATTTGATTCTAAAGCTTTAGCTCTCTAGGAGTCATCAAGTTCTGCAACTTTGTTTGTGACCCTTATTTTTGCCATAAAGTGAAACTTAATGATATTGAAAGTCTGTTTTATAAGAGTGTCCTGGGATATCCAGCGGCAAAACCAGATAAAAACAAGACAGTTCAAACCTTTCAAACACGACTCTAACAAAACAAATCACATAAAACATCTACAGTCAGTGGTTTCTGTCACTTTGTGATTCTAGAGACCTTCGAAACTATTCAATGAAACCGTATCCTCAGTCTTTAGATCCTTCCAGTAATGAGGTGCGGGATATTTAACAGCTTTCTGTCCTGGTTTTTGGTTCACACAGAGAAACAGCATCTTGGAAATGAAGGCTGTAACCACTTGAACTCGTTTAGATATACAAGCGTGAAGATATTGAAGTGACTGACTTTAGTCAGACCGTCCGACAGCTGAGTAGAGTTGACAATAGTGAGTTAGCGCTTTAAGATTTGATGTTCTGCAATAAAAAACAATGGACCAACATAAGCAGGTGGTGCTGAAACTTTGCTCTGTGACTTCCATTCCTCCTCTAGAATCTAGTAAAGATATTAAATATAAACATAATTTCAAACACAAAAAGTGGGAATCAGAGGGAGAGACCTGCACCTTACCTTATTTTCAAGCTGAATCCTGGTACAAGGCATCCATCCATTTTCTTACACCCTTGTCCCTTAGTGGGGTCAGGAGGTGCTGGTGCCCATCTCCAGCTATCATTCTGGGCGAGAGGCGGGTTACACCCTGGACAGGTCGCCAGTCTGTCGCAGGGCAACACAGAGACGGACAGGACAAACATCCACACACACACACACACACACTCCCACCTAGGGAGAATTTAGAGAAACCAATTAACTTGACAGTCATGTTTTTGGACTATAAGAGGAAGCTGGAGTACCCAGAGAGAACCCACACATGCACAGGGAGAACATGCAAACTCCTTGCAGAAAGACCCTGGGCTGGGAATCCAACCCAGAACCTTCTTGCTGCAAGGCAACAGCTCTACCAACTGCGCCACTGTGCAGCCTGGTACAAGGCATAAAAAGCCTTAAAAGTAATATTTGAATAAATATCTCCAAGCTCACAAACTATGTTTCGTAGAAGTTACCTTAAGTGTAGAATAACACTATCCAGATTTGACCAGTCATACTTTGTAGTTTTTCTATCCTGGATCATGTTCAAAGCAGCGAAAAAGCCTTTAAATTTAGAACATTATCATTTAATTTAATCCGTTTTCTTAATTACTTTTTGCCATGTTTGTAATTATTTAGTTTGTTTTACCACAATGGATCACAATGAGACAATAAATAAAGATTAAATAAATAAAAAAACATTTAGAATTTTCACAATATGTATATTTTAGAAATCACACCCTGACTTTTCTATAACCTTTAAATGGCATAAAATAATTCCAGTTTGACTAACAGGTAGTCCAGAGTGAAACAGCGCTTTTAGATGAGCGCTGAATCTACATGACGCCCCTCATCTCGTCTCATCTCAGCGTCCCCACCATTTCTCGCGATGTCCGAGATGTCAGAGCCAGAATAAACAACCATGGCCGCCGCACTGCGCAGGCTGGTCGCTTCTCTCAGGAACGGAGTGCTTCCTCAGCAAACACCGTCAAATGGCAGAAGGACGCTGAAGGTGGTCGCAGCCGGCGCTTGTGTCGCAGCCGCGGCCGGCGCTGCGGCTCTCTACTGCGGCTCGCTGGTCGGTGTGAAACCGAGGAGCCTCGTCGAGGCACGGCTCGTACATCTGGCGCTGCCGACCGTCTCTGCTGCTGACAAGGTACCGTGAGGCAGCTGGCTACGTTCAACTCCGAAACAGTCTGGAGTTGATCGCCGACAGCAGCACTTTATCGGCTATTTAATTTTTGGAGATGAGGTTAACTTTTCTTCGGCTGGTTGTTGTCTCTTTCGGGAGCTATCCGCGACCTTTGGTGCTGAAAAGACTAAACTGTCATCCGAGCTCACGTGACCAAGTGGTTTTTATTGAATCCCTGACGCTTTTGTAAACATTGTTCACACCGGAAATGGACAAAACATCACAACTAAGGTGACACGCAGAGACGCTGCTGATGTTTTAGACTTACACTGATGCACTGTACATTAATCCCTTGAAGTTTCTAAAACAAAAATCTTTCAGACCGGATGTATCAATATACAAAACATGTTATTTAATTGCAGGACGGATATGCTGTATCACATAACTGTCAAAGTGGAGGATAAGTTTTACATTGATACTAAATAATAAACATACTTGTTGCTGTACAAAAACGCAATAACTGGAGCAACTGTTTGACATAAAATGATTGCACAGCTAATTTTTTAAATAGGCTTTGATTATTTGTTAGCTAGAAAAAAAACATAGCTGCACTTTACTATAATTTATCATGTGATTAATTGATTTATTGTTTATTGTATGCAGGCCTAATCAGAATGCACAGCGCATGGGGTTTTGCTCCATGTAGGTCTGCATAGTTCCAGACCAATCAATCATATTGATCTCTAGAGGCTGTGGTATCTTTCAGTAGGATTTTACAGCCTGCCACAATAGAGCGAAAAATGGTTTAGCAATAGTCAGAGGGTCAAAACGACAGATTTAGAGTGTGGGATAAATATCCAAATATCCTAAATCTGAGTCCAATCAAGTGTTTGTGTAATGGTCATTGGGTGGTTTTTGTTTTACAGCATAAAGATTTCATCCTAAGACGGTCCAGGTATTATCACTGTGTGGGAAAAGTAAGCAAAAATGTCATGAAAAAAATGACCTTTATTCAGTAACAAAGTAAACCCAGCATCCTTCCTCCTAACATACAAACCTAACTGTATGTTGAACGCTAGATTTTTCATAAAAGGCCTTTTATATACACATGAACAGAAGAAAATAGTGGTGACATCAGCTGTACAGTCTGTTTCGGCCATCTTTAAAACCTTTACATGGCGCTCAGCAGCTCTGCTTGAACTCTTTGCACTATTTCTCCAAACTCATGTAGCCGCGTAATTAGATAAGATCCACCAAAGCTCTGGCACATGCTGAAAATGCTCGGGGACTAACAAAGCATGCACACTTAATTCCCTGCAGAGCAACAGTTTCCTTGTTGGATATTAGTCGGTATGAGCCGGGGATTGCTGCCCGATGTCCTTACACAGAAGCTATCTAGGGACACAAGAAACTGGACACTCTGGCTTGGCAGAGGGCCTGATGTTTGAAGAGGTGGGGTGGGTGGTGGTTAGAGGAGGGGGGTTTAATGGTTAAGCAGAGGGGGGCACACATTCCCTAGGTGTTTGCAGTGTGCCCAGTGGATCTGGCGGTGGGCCACCTGACAGAGAGATCCATTCTGTCTTCACCAATCCAGCCGTCTGATCCGGCTGGGTCGGAGCAGTTGTAGGGACATTATCTACTGTGCTGGGATGAAAAAGAAGGCATGCTGCCCATTACTGGACCAAGAGAGGCGTTTCGTGACAAGGAAAGCTTCAGGGGATTTTGCAAGGTGGATCTTTCAGACAGTATTATCGCTGAAACGAGTCGTGTTTCTATGAGCTGTGCAGTGGGGAAAATAAGTATTTTATACACTACAGATGCGTCAAGTTTCCGCACGTACAAAGAATGGGGGTCTGTCGTTTTTATATACGACAACTTTGAGAGACAGAATCTTGGGGAAAAAATCATGAAAATAATGTATAATTTTTTAATAATTAGTTTGAATGTGGTACAATGGAGAAATAGAACTTAGTATTTATTGCCAGCCGTAAATACTAACTTACAGAAGTTAGGTATTTCCAGTAGTTGTTGACCAGGTTTCACTCGGCAGCAGGGATCATTCCTGCACATCTCCTCCAGATCTTTCGACGTTCAGGGCAAACCAGAGTTTCAGTTCCCTCCAAAGATTTTCTTTTTATTGAGTTCAGGTCTGGAGACTGGCTAGGTCACTCCAGGACCTCTGTCTTATGGAGCCACTCCAGAGTTAACCTGGTTTGAGTCACTGTCATGCTATAAGACACGACCCATCTGCAATGAGGGAAGGAGGTTGTTACCCAGAATGTTATGGTACACGCTCCCGTCTATCAGAAAAGTCATGCTTCAGAAAAACCTGATGCATAACTGTTCAAATGCTTCACGTTGGGGATGGTGATCTTGAGACTGTACTCGTTCTTCTTTTTCTTCTTCCTCCAAACATAGCGAGTGAAGTTTATTCCAGAATTAGTTATTGTCCTGTAGACCATCCCAGTCTTGTGCAGGTCTACAGTTTTCCCTCTGGTGTCCATAGACAACTCGTTGATGTTGCCCTTAAAGTCGAATGGGGTTCTCCAACCTTTATCCTTAAGATCTCCTGTCCCACAAGTTTTTGATGTATACCTGCTGCAGTGTTGTGGTACT